GCCGCTGAAATTGTGCCTCTCGTCGATTGTTTCTGAATCAAAATGAGTGTGTGATTTTTGGGGAAGTACCGAATCTCACAGTAACCTGTCCAGCGGATTCGCACGCTCCACCTGCGCACGGTGGATGAATGAAAATTTAAATGAGCACGAGCGCGAGACCACCGCGCGCGGGCGCGAGCTGGAGCGCACATGCCATCCACCTGTTCAGCGCGGCTCAGCCCAACCAGAAGAAATAAACATTACGCGGAGAGATGCGTGCGTTTGGAAACTTGCAACCATATAGAAGTGCTACATTTCTAAGCACGCATTTAATAAATGCAATGGTATCAGCACGAACTGTCTAGCCTTGCGTCTAAATTCCCGCATGTGACTATGGAGCGCAGTCTCATAATATAAGGAAATACATGCGCGAAAGTTCATCAAAATGCATAAAACTTAAATCTCACCTGTGTCTGTGCCGCCTCGCCATCCCGCTGTTTAAAAGGAGGGTAGAGAGGTGATGATGAGTGCGCTCGGCTCAAGTGTGCTGAAGTTGAGTGCTGTCAGCTCCTCTTCGAGGAGGAAGTACTGATATTAAGCTCTCTAGCGGAGTGTGCGATATTGTAAACAGATCCATCAGACAAAGCTAGGGCTGTCTCTCTCCCTCCCGCTAAATTTGGCGCCTCGGGTCGTGCGCATGCGCACAACTTCACTACCATTCACTCATCAGAGCGCCTTTTGAGCAGGAGGTCCGCGCTAATCGTACACTGTTGTTTTTTTTTCAGAACAATTAGATTGTGTTTTTCGAGGTAAAAAGGCAGGGAGGGGTGGCAGTGCGTTTCTTAGAGGACAATGTGGACTCTGAGTGGGAGTGAAAGTTTGGAAAACAGGGGGAAACAGAGCGTGAGGGGTCCGGGCATCTTGTCTCAAGCTTAGCGCTGTTTCTGCGGTACTGAGGCTGTACTGTAGTAAGTGACGGAATCGTAAAGGATGGTTCCGATCGCGATTCCTCTGAACGAGTCCGGTTCGAGATTATTAAATATATATTTTAAATGGTAATTATTTTAAAAAGTGTTACTATTTCATCGTTTCATATTTTAACAGAACATTTAACATATTACAAATCAGAAATGAATATAATACAATTCTTACATCGTGTTTTCTCACAAAACCCAGATTTGTGTGCCTTTTAAAAGATCATTTAAAGGCAGCATACATGCAAATCAGTAATTAATTACCTTTTTGTATTTTAAATACAAATAGCCTACTAAACAAACATGTGGTAACATTTTATTCACTTTTATTAAACAACAGTGAATACAACAAAGCTTATAATGTGTATCTTTAATAGGCTATGTATGAACAACCATATGAACAAGTCTCACGAGCCTTACAATTCGGACATGGGGAGATTAACTGATTCGGTGTAAAGAACTAGTTCATAAGAGTCATTCGTTCTGGCATCGGACTACATAGTGGCGCTGTATGTGTTTGATTCACTAAAAAGAACCGGCTCTTAAGAGTCATTTGTTCGAAAATTGAACTGCACTGGTCTCCGTATGTCTCATCATTACCATAACGTGGTGGATTCAACAGCAAGCTATTGTTGCGCTTAAATTCAGAGCACAGAACACACACTCAGAGTAGACTACTTTAATAACGTCACAATGAACGAATAGCCTACACGTTTCAGAACTGCTGACATCATTCGATACTTTTTCGAATTCGTAATTCAAAGTTCAGGTGTGCAGTTATGGAACAAACTACCCTGAAATCTACTGAGAATTATATTCGTTCGAAATCTGCTGTTTTGTTATTTCCTAGGAATTATTTTAATCAACTACTTTATTTCACTTCTCTCACTAGGTTGCAACAGTTTCGCTTTTCCTTTTCCAGAAATGTAGCCTATTGGCTACCACCTCTGGTTTGCTGATATTTTCACTTTGCTCCAGTACAAAAGTTACACAATCCATACATTTTGTTACTGGAAGTCACGATCAGGTTATTGTCTGGAACTGAAAAGTAGTGCAGCTTGTTTAAGTTCTCCGACATGTCCAACCTGTTGCCATGTGATAGTCTACGTAATTGCATAATCAAGGATAACCAGCAAGCTCGCTCTATTTTTCACACACCCTTGAGGGTTGTGGTCTATATGTTTTGTGTTATAGGTTGCCTTTGCGCTTACTTGGTTGGCACATTGTGACTGTCACTTATCATATCGGTCAGCGCGAGCCATTGTTTCTGACCACTGACGCTCACGTGCTCAGCAGAGCTCGTGAACGCGCCTCTGTTGTGTCTGCGCGCCGATGACTGGGAGCGCTCATCCATCCACTGCAGAACAAGGAGGGGTTATTACTGTGGCGCTTCATTAAAAGATAGAAGAAAAAACACTTAGTCGCCATTTTATTTCAGTAGTTTACTTCCCTTTCATGAGGGCATGCGATTTATGACCTACTCCTAGATTACACAACATCACATCTAATTCATATTTGCTGTGGTGTCATACAACAGCTTAAAAAGGGTTTGAATTTCATTCCGTAAATAACAGAATATCACACCGAGTATAATCTAAAGACATTTTAGATTGTTATAAGTAACTTCAGAATGTTTTGATTCATATTGATCAAATAGGTCCAATTATTTAAATGAAGAATAACACTGACCAATCAAAATGAGGTAGGCCTTTTCCAGAAAGTACTGTAATAAATTCCAACAATTAAAGAATATTAATAATTCTATTGCAGTTAGTTATGAAATGCAATATTATAGAGCATTGCTCAGCTGAAAAGCCATGACATCACTTAAAATAGTAGGTCTAACTAATTTGATGATAAATCGGACTGCACATTTCTCTCCAACCCTGTTGCCCCCCACTCAAACAGCATGTCTGAAGCTTTTAAAATGTGTCTAACATCAAATGTAGGCTACAAGGAGAATCATTTCATCTGAGCACATGTGTGATGATATTAAAGTGCAGAGTTTTCCATTGACCTCAAAATATTTGTGAGTCATTCTGGAAACAGACGCCACAAACAGACAGACTTGGTGATGTGAGAGACTAAGACTGACGCTGACCACTGTTTAATGCCTAATTAAAATGTTGAATTTGATCTCTACTCTTTCCCCCAAACCATGATACCCAGGCCCAGCCACCGAGACAACCTGTGGGTAACACTTTTTAGAAAGTTACAGTGAATGAAACATCCCCCACCGCACACACATACCACACCTGAGGTGAATCCAGGGTCACTCAAATGTTCATCTCCTGTCTCCTTCATCCCACCTCTCCTCCTTACTGTTTGCCACCGTCATTTAAAGTCACCATGACATCAAAAGTGACAATTCTTGTTTTGAATGGAATATTGCAGTATTTATTATAAATTGATCTGTGCACATCATAACTTTTATTTTAAATGCATGCCCTCGTAATCTTTCATCAAAATAACTTCTCCTCCCTCTTGCATCATCATCTTTTCTCTTCTCTGATGACAAGGGCAACCTGTCACTCACATCACATAAAATAACAGCAATAGCAAACCACAAAGATTCTGTCAATTCTCAATGAGCAAAATCAAGTCCCGGACAACATTTTTCCTTGTTCGAGAATCCGTTTCATTCGGATATACGTCACGGTAAAGAAAAGACTATTGCAACTTTCATTTCATGATGACTATAAAGAAATTTTAATTATGCATATTTGTGCCATCAATTCAAACTCCTCCACACTCTCATGGCAATTCAACTATGTTATATTTGTGGAAATTGGTGGTTAATTCATATTCACACATATTTGTATGATCTGCTTACGCCCCACTGATGGTAAGGTTTAGGGGTGGATTCTTCTTCAAAAATGTTACATTTCCGTACAAATAACATCATACAAATTCATACAAAATTGCTTCGGGATGCTTTTTCTGTATGGAAAGAACCCCTCCCACCTGTGTCTTTGCAACCTACTCTGTAGACTTGACACAACAACTGGGTCAGTCTAAGAAAGCATGAAGCAATGAAGCATCTGTATATCTGCCGTGCTGAGTGTGTTTTAAGTTAAATTTAGACATGTTCTCAATGTTTAAATGTCATGCAGATGTGAATGAAACCATATTTAGCACAAACAGTATCAGATTAGTGACTGTGGTAAATCTCTCTCCTTATCAGCCTGCTGTACAGAATAACTTCACCTATACTTTACCTCACTATTCCTGATTTATAAGACATTACAATGTAAATGGCAATCAAATTGATTCAACATTCACCCAAAAACCCCTATCTCTCCTTTATGTTTTTGATAATTCTCCCTATGTTTCCCCCAGCCCAGACTGAAAGGCGCATTTAGGGAACTAAGCAATCAACTTAGTTCTCTGTTCATACTGTATATCATAAGTGATTCCTCCGTTTAGGGCCATCGATTTATTGAAAGTATTGAAAACGAAAGATCAAGATCCTAAAAAATCTGATATAGCAGAGAGGAGGAGAGAGATTGAAGGTGGTTTCCAGGAGTAGGTTTCACAGCTGCAGTCTTGTGTTCCAAGGAGAGATAAACCTTACAGGGGATTTTTTTTTCTCCACTTGGGCTGCTATATAGATGTCAAAAGATCAATTAAACACATGACAATGAGTGAAAAATATACACATTATAGATAAGCTAGTTGGAAAACCCATTGTCAGCGGTTCCCCAACTGTCACGCAACTGTATTAATCTAATTAATCTCATTTAATAATTTAGTTTGACATTACCTACACATTGTCATATGTGTCAGTTAATTTATAATTGATGTATATATACACTTTGCATTGTAGAATAGGCTATAAAGTCTCTTGTTAACTGTTTCACTACAGACATATTATAATCTAAGTAAATATTTTCTTAAAGTGTATGTTTATCCTTTACAAAACTTACCGTGTCAACCATAATCTCCGCATAGATTCCAGTTTTGACTAAAAACATAATTGTTGAATCTTTTTAGTTTTAGAGGCTTTCAGAAACAAGACTGTGTATTTTCTCACTGCGCATGCGCGTCCTTTTTGATTCTGATGGCCGTCAACATGGCGGCTGTGGAGTGAGACGCATGTCTAAACTTTGTTCCGACAATTGATATTTTGCCTCGCGTATATTGTTTACGTGAAAGAAAGCCGTCGAACAAAAAAATGTCACGCCACAGGAATGTCCGAGGTTATAACTACGACGAAGGTATATACGGGAAATATGATATTTAGCCGCTTTTATTTAAAGAGGCCTATATGATTGCTAGTTAGCTGGTTTATTTACAGAGTCCAGTGCTAGAGATTATGACAGACTGCTGTCGTGTCACTGTTTCAGATTGTAACAGCTGGACTGTGCACCTGGTAATCAGTTCTGTGCTGTTAAACTCAAATATTTGTATTTAATTCAAATCAAATCACAACTAACAGTTACTGTACATATTGCCTTTATATTTCTGTCTATTTGGCTGATCACAGATCAGCCGTCTAGTATATAAAACAAAAGTAAGAGCTGGGTTCTTTAAATTCACTCTATATCCACTCAGTTTTAGTGACTTTTGACGTTCACTTTTGTTAAAAAGCTGTTGTTGCATTGCGTCAGGTGGTGTTGCTGACTATGCAAAGCTTTTTGGGCCCCATCAATGCTTTTTTTGTTTGTTGATGCAGTGGAATTGCTTTAACTATAACTAGGATTGTCTCAATTTCTTCTTTGTTTATAGACTTTGAGGATGATGACTTGTACGGGCAGTCAGTGGAGGATGACTACTGCATCTCTCCTGCCACTGGTTTGTGTTTTCATTTAAGCTTGCATGTGTTTTAAATAGTGTAAATTTCTTATTTTGTATTCCGGTCATTTTAATCTTCAAAACCAAATGAAGGTATTATTAATGAAATCTGAGATATTTAGATCTGTCCCTCCATTGAAAGTCATTTCACCCAAAACTCTGAAGGTTCATAACATTAATGAAGAGATTGTAAAAACAAATCTGATGGATCCACGTCTTCTGAAGAGTGAAGAGACACGGTTGCTTTAAATGATGAACAGATTTAATTCAGGATTTTATAAACGTTGACCATATAAAGAAGACTCAATTGTGGAAAATGGAAGCTCAAACCAGTTGTTTGATGCATGAGAACAAATCTCATTTGTTTCTGTGGAAGCTCAGACTCAAAGGTGCTGCGTGATGCACAAGAATGAACATATAGATGCATCACAGTTTTGGGTGAATAGACTTGTAACGGAGGAACAGAAATCTCTCAGATTTGATAAAAAATATATTCTGTTGTGTTCTGAAGATGAACAAAGGTCTTATGGGTTTGGAACGACATGAGGGTGAGTAATTGATGACAGAACTGACCCTTTAACTGTAAAAGATTGACGTTCATTTTCGTCTGTTATGGAGATATTTGTGAATTTGTGTCTCCATAGCTGCACAGTTTATCTATTCACGCCAAGACTCAAGGCAGGCTCGACATGTAGAGACCGTGGAGGAGGCAGAATATGAGGAGGAGGAAGAGGAGATGCCAACCTCTCCAACCATCACAAGCACACTAGATCCGCTAAAGCAAGGTACACACTGACTTTATGGGTTAAGAGATTGGTTAAGATGGTCACTTATTCTAATGAGTATCTGGCTCTTAAGTTTATCTAATTTTATCTTTAATATTTTTAAAGGCGGTGCTTTAGAGGGAGTGAATATAGAGATACGAATTCTCAAAGGATTTCACAGGGCTGACAGTCTAAAAATTAGGCCTATTATTACTAAGTGTTGCAGTTTTGTATTTCTAAGAAATGTCTGATTAGAGTTTGGTGGACTAAATCAGGCTAACCATTTGGGTAACATTTTTTTAATGTTTCTGAAAGTAATCTCTTATGCTTACCATTTATTTGATGGTGAGCATAAGAGTAATTTGCTCACCATCAAAAATACAGTAATGTTGTGGTTAAATATAATTAATAATAACTGAAATATTAGAACAATTACTGTTGTACTCTACTCTAGTATTCATTTCTCCAGTCTTTAATGTCACATGATCCTTCAGAAATATTTCAGAAATATGTTGATTTTGTGCTCAAGAAACATTTATTATCATTATCAATGTTAAAAACAGTTGCTGCTGAGACATGCATCTCCATCTCTGCTGAATAAAAGTATACATTTCTTTAAGAAAAAAAATCGTATTGACACTTATTACACTTTGACTTCAGAGTTCAGCTTTTCAATTCATGTCAGAAAAGAGTGACCAACCAAGGGTTTAATCTTTAGGATTTTATTAAAATACCTTGTGGAATTTACCATCAGAGGTTACCACCCCAAACCTTTGAAAGGAAGTAAAGTTCAAACTTAAACACAAAGGATTAAATTAGTAATTATTACATTAGTACAAAAACACCATTGTGTAATGCTAACATGTTCCATTAGGGATATGTGTTCTATTGGATTTTATATCAATATGTTTGTGTTTGGACAGGTCAGTTGTTTTCCTGTTTGGATCACATGAGAGAAGTACTAGGAGACTCAGTTCCAGACTCCTCACTGACTCAGGCAGCTCTTAAATACGACTGCGACCCTCACCGGGCCCTTGATTTCATTCTAACTGAGGAGAACGCCAATACACACGCCCCTCCTGTCAGAACCAACGCACAGCCCGAGCCTACCACCACAGCTGCACCACAGAAAGGTACACACACACACCCTTCCACCCAAAACCAGAACACACCAACCAAAAAAAAAAAAACCCTACACACACTATTATACAATTTATAGCACATTAAGTACCCAAAACACATCTGTGCCACTTCCACTTAAAAATGTGCCCTCTTATGTATTTTAATCCAAAATGAAAATGAAAACCACTCCAGCAAGACCACAAATAGTTAAAACAAAGACTTGGCATGAGGTCTCAGGGGAAAATGTTAAAATCCAGGGTTTTTCCAAAACTGGGGAGAACCTAATTTTTTTTGTGTGTTTCAGTACCAGAGGCTATAAAGAAGTGCAAATAATACAACAAAAAAACTATTTATAAAAGCAATACTGCTAACACTGATTTTTCATTATTATTATTATTTGGTGTATATTTAAGACAATTTTCTACTTTACCTATACAATTAAAAAATTTAAGATACAAATTTTTCCCCAGGCTTCAACTGCTGACTTTGTTTACATACACCAGACTGAGTTTGTATTTGTTGCTGGTGTCTTTTTTTATCCTTAATTTTACCATGTATAACGTATTGCCTTTTTCTTGCTTTCTCTGTGGTCTCGGCTAACCATTGATCGCCTTCCTCATCCTCTCGGTTGTACTCTCTGACTACAATTGGCCCTCGTAAGGTAAGGAGCCTTATTTTCTCCATCACACGACAGTATTAAGACTGTATCAAGTGCACATTCAGGCAAACCCCTGAAACGAGACGGTGGTCAGTCTTACAGCCTCAGTGATCTGTTAGCCATGCCTGAACCAAATCCTCCCCCTGGTCTGGGAAGTTTGACAAAAGGCCATTTAAAAGGGCTTTCAAGTCATAATTTGAGCAGTGACGGAACTTTAGGACAAAGTTCACTCGCCCAAGTAATAGCTGAGCATGAACAGAAGTGTACAAACATTCCTCCTTTAGTTGCTTCCACTGGTGTCTCATTGGATTACTCAGCTCCTCTTACTACCAGTCCTTTTGGTTCTTTTCTTGGTTCTACCCCTCCACTTTCTGCAGTTCTATCGCAGGGTCCTAGTGTCCCACCTTTTCCCGGTTTGTCTGTTGGCTCTGGGGCGTCTCTCTCTTCTGGTTTCTCTTTGGGAACCACTGTCCCAGCTGGTCTGGGTGTGACATCCTCATCTCTTCTAACCTGCTCTCTCAGTAGTTTGGCGCTCCAGGATTCCCAGCGGTCCGCCCCTCTTCCGGTTTCCTTAGGAAGTTTGAGTTCTGTCCTGCAAAGCAGTGGGCCGTTGGGAGTACCTGGGCAAGGGAAGAGCTCTGGAAGCCTTTCATTGGCTGAGCTGATTCAAGAGCACCAGGATAGCAGTCCCAAACTCTATGACAGTTTACCAGGACTCCAAAACACCCAAAATTCATATATTACTGGTACACAAAACAATACGCCTATCCAAACATCCGCTGCAAATGCTCCTCCGGGCTTTTCAGAGGCACCATCCCTGTCTGAACTTGTGTCCCGCCACAACCAAGTGTCACTTACATGCACTGCATCTCTCAAGAGTGAGAATATGTCTAATCATCAAGCATTGAACAAATCTGCAACAGTATTACCTAAGCCCCGCCCACTAAGCTTAAATCAGAGCGTCGATCTTAGCGCACTTATCTCCCAAACATCTCCTGACAGTCGCTCGCCAACCCTTTTGAGCTTTACCCAAGTCTCCGCTAGTAAGAAAAAACGTGTGTTTGCTAAACCGTCAATTTTTGCGTCCGCGTTTTGCATGTCCGTGAGTAGCGAGAATTGCATGCGCGGTAGAGCAACGCATAATGCTTTCTTATACAGCAGACAAATGGAGAGAGTGAAAGAACGAGTGCAGTGTCTACCTCTCCATCACATCACCCCGTTTTCTTTCGACACGCCCTCTCCGGATGACGTGGTCAAGGCGAATCAGAGAAAAGCTTTTACTCGAGAATGACATTTTTTTAATTTTATCGTTCAGGACCATTTCAAAAATCTTCCAAACAAACAGTTTTGAGACTCAGGTTCATTTTTACTCAAGATTATGACGTTACAGTTTTGCCCATAATCCAAAGAAGCAGGGCTGTATCTAGAAGTTGTCTGACTGAATGCTAAATAGGGCTGTGAAACGATTATTCGCGATTAATCGGGTCCAAAATAAAAGTTTGTGTTTACATAATATATGTGTGTGTAGTCGTGTGTATAATTATTTTGTATACATAAATACACACATATGCATGTATATATTTAAGAAAAATGTGTTATTAATATATCAAATATTTATATTTATGTATAATATAAATATATAAAGTATATACATGCAAATAATTCTTAAATATATACATGCATGTGTGTGTATTTTTATATATACAAAATAATTATACACACTACACACATATATTATGTAAACACAAACTTTTATTTTGGGTGCGATTAATCGTGATTAATCGTTTCACAGCCCTAATGCTAAATAATAGTGATTATGGAATGAAATGCATAGATTAGCATTAATAATTTTAGGAAAATAAGAACTTTCTGGTGTTAATTAATCATTGATAAGCACTCAAAGGGATGTACATTTGAGCCATGAAATTATTATTGAAAGAACTGAGACTGCTATTTTATATCATTCCCCATATAATTCTTTATAATTTAGTATTTTTCAGATTTTTTTAATAGGCTATATTTATTCACAGCTAACCATTACACTGAAAAGGACTTTTTGTTCAAAATGTCACAACCTCAGATAGTAATATAGTATTACTTTTAAAGTCCTCTTGTTTTCAATTTTTCATATTGATTTTTCATATTTTCATTTTTTAAAAATTTGTCATGAGGCTAAATGTATATTTTTATACTTGATTATGTAGTTTTATGACATTTTGACAAATTATTGATTCAATTCTAGAGTCTCTCTACATAACAAAACAGAAAAAATATAGAGTAGGTGCAGATAGAGTGCAAAAGATTAAAAAAAACAGCAGATTCTCTTTACAGCTGTTTTGCTGCCTATGAAGGTGCAGCGCTGGTTTACCACAAACACAGAAAGAGGGAAGACATTTGGGTTTGGGGGACACCTGTAGTCTTTCCTATTGTGTTTTGACACCCAACACTGTAAAAGTGTGTTTTATTTATAATAATTATTGTTTAATAGACATTTTGTTCATTGTTTTTTCAATTTTGATTGTCCACTGCATTTTTAACTTGTTTTAAAGCACTGATGTGGCCATGGAGTTTTGTATATATTCTGAAATAAAGATTTTCCATTTTCATTTCTGTGATTGATGTTGAAGTGTGTAAGTATATGGGGGTGGAGGGGAACTTGTTGAGGATGTGCTTGTTTTTGCTCACCTTAAAAGGGTGTGTTAGCTTGTGGTGTTTATCACTTACGTGTGTGTGTGTGTGTGTGTGTGTGTGTGTGTGTGTGTGCGCGCAAACATATGTACATATAAAACAGAGAGTCTTTGTGGCCACATAAAGGTGTTAACACACCCAGAGCATATTGGAAGAGATTTTACAAAGGCTTTGCTTTCAAAGTGGTAGACCATCCACCATGGGAGATGATACACACTTGTGCACAGATCTGAAGATGGTCTGAAAACACTCACACACCTGCATGTGCATGTTTAGATTGGCTTTGTTTCCTCATTGCACACTGACCTAGTCTAAAACAGCATTATCCTGATAATCACTTGAAAAGAGTCTGTTCTTTAGGACTGTTGGTGAATAAGACTTGGTTAAGCCTATATAAACTATAAGACTTAATTAATTTAGTGACTAAATGTTCTGGCCATTTAATCACTGACTGTTCTTGTTGGGTTAAATGTTTACTGAATTTCTTCATTGAAAGGCATCCAAAATTACTAGTGGTTCTATAAGTAGTTATTAGTACTATTGTTTATATTTGGAGTTAGATATTTGAACAAACTGCTAATCTTAAAGATTGTAAAAATGAAAATGGTCATTATTTATTGCACCCTCATGTCACTCAAATACTAAAGAAGAAAATTTGAAGAAGGTTTCAGCTGTTTTTGTCCATGTATTGAAAGTCAATGGGGTCCAAAACAACATTGGACCCCACTGACTTTAATTGTATGAACAAAATAAAACAGACCTTACCTTTTTTCCAAATTGAAATGAAAGTGAGTGTAAATTAAAGGAGTGACCTGTGCCATATCTAGAGACCAGAATATCGTGTTGTTGAGCTCTTTTGGCATAGAACAGTAAGTAGCAACCTTAAAAACCATCAGAAAACCCTTAGCAACCGCATAGCAATGCCCTGGCAACCACTTGGATTACCCTAGAAACCATGATGATGAGTTTTGCATAGGCAAACATCCACTATTTTCTTCAGAAAATGTAAAAGCTTTATTTTTACTGTTAGGATGCTTTGACTGCACACACTTTATATCTTTCCTTCTCGCGTGTGTTCTTGTTAACTCTCTGATTGCCGAGCCAAGCGTGGGTGTAGGCCTGCTTTTGAAAAGCATGATGCAGCTCACCTTTCACACTTGCTGTCTTCAACTCCTTTTTGTAAAATCTCTTTGCCATCTGACCACCTCAAGTCATCTATCCCTTTTTCCCCCCTCTCTGTTTTCTCTGCCTTCTTTTGCCACCCACACAGGAAAGAGTGACTGGTTTACAGCTGGCCCTGTTACTGCTCTTTGACGTTTTCTCCCTTTTTTGCACTTTGTGGCTTTTGCAGAAATGGTGATATGTCATTGTGTCTGCTGCGAGTCGTGCAGCACTACATAGATTGGTCAGAGAGCGAGCGAGAGAGGTTATTGACCCTATTTTAGTGTGAATATAGATCATTTGTAGCTTTTCTCCTTCTCCGTCAGACTGTTTCTTATTTTCTCATTCTTTGTTCACTGTCAGTAGAACTAGATGATTTTACTCCTTTAGACTGTGAAGACTTGTACAGACTTCATACACAGTAGTCTACATGCCTATATAATTTAGTTTAAAGTAAGAAATACAATTGATGTTTAAGTTTGTATTAGTGGTGTTTGTTAAGCATCATACTTGGAGATTTGATTTGATTTGAACAGATCCCTAACCCTAAGAATTCATCTTGACCTGAATTGTTTGTACTACAGAGATGAATGATGCCTCAAATCTTGTGGCTTGGTTCTGAGAACTATGCTATTACTTATTATCCGAAAGATTAGACTTTTTTTTTTTTTCCCACCTCGCGATTACAAAATGGACAATGTATAGGCTACCGAATATCAGTCATGGCTGATTTTTATTTGGTAAATTAAAAAAACTGTGTAGAAATGGCATAAAACTGACTAGAGCTTAGATGTGCGCACGTTTTGTGCCCGAGCCCGGCCCGACACATTAACTGTAATTATGAGCCAGAGCTCTTTTTTTTTATTTTTATTTTTTTTAGTACGTGGGTCGTTATAACTGATGCTCTCGACTACTTTCTGTTACTTTCTCCCGCCCGCAACTTTGATTTGCCCCGCTCCCGCCCGCAAATAGACTTAGCCTCCGTGTCGCCACCATACACATCAACATAAAATGATGCTCCTGATAAATGAGTTGTTATTATTACCCAAAAATGAAAATTAAGTCATTAATTACTCACCCCCATGCTGTACCAACCCCGTAAGACATCTTCGGAACACAAATAAAGATGTTTTTGATTAAATTTGAGAGGTGGATAACTGCTACATAGGCTGCCTAAGGGATTGAAACTTGAAAGGCCCAGAAAGTCATTGAAGAAAATGTTTAAATATTCCTTGTGACAACAGTGGCTCAAGTATAAGTTTATCAAGCGACGAGAATACTTTTTGTGCGAAAAAACAAACAAAAATAACGACTTTGTTCAGCTGTTCCCTTTCTTCCTTGAAGGCCTGAGACGAGAGTTTAACAGAAATTTCCACGACGCATGCGCGAGAACTGAACTGAAGTAGTTGAAGGAGATCGCAATTCTCGCGCATGCGTCGTGGAAATCTCTTGAACTCTCATCTCAGGCCCAGAGGAATAGTCGAATAAAGTCGTTATTTTTGCATTTTCCACACCAAAAATGTTCTCGTCGCTTGATAAACTTATACTTGAGCCACTGTTGCCAATATTAAATATTTAAACATTTTCTTCATTGACTTTCTGGGCCGTCAAGTTTCGATCCCTTAGGCAGCCTATGTAGCAATGATCCACCACTCTGTTCTAAATCTGTTCTAAAAATTCGTTCAAAAATGTGATGACGTCACACAATAGCAGAATGCTTCCGGCCAACAACAACCTAACCTGTAAGAAATCGAATGGACATAAGTACTCGTTCTTTCGACTTTTGGCCTATAATCTATAGTGAACTTGTGGAATCAACAATAAAATCTATGTTGATTCAACGACAAGCAGGAGAAAGAGATGCATTTATCCGTTTAGCTCCATAGACTCCCATTCATTCTGCACTCGTCCGCTATCACCTCCAGTGGAATTCTTATGTAACTGCAACCAAGATGATACACAACGGGGCTAATAGGAAGTGCCAAGGCTCTCCGTTAGATGGGCCTCTGGTATCACTCCCATTGTCTTGAAATTAGTTTGAAAACGAATGTGACTAGGTGGCCGTTAGAGGAGTTCTGAATCTGATTGGGAGTTCTGAGGGTTTACAAGGGGGTTGCTAGGGGGTTGCTAAGGTGTTCTAAATCTGAGGGAATTCAGAATGTTGCTATGCAGTTGTTGTTGGTGGGGTGTTTCTTACAATAGTGCTGCTAGGATGTTGCAAGGTGTTCTTAAAATCTAGTTTTAATTTCTATTGTAAAGATGGAGGTGTTGAGAAGACTGCCCCATTCATTTGCATGGAGGCCTTTGTCAACATTTGCCCTTCCCTGTTTATGAAAGAGATTAAATGAGTGCAGTGTGGGATGCATCTGAGTTGCATCTGTCTTGTTCATGTATTGTTTTCGGCAGGTGTGTATTGTAAGGGCAAGGCCACATGTGAGAATATCTTTAATAGTGCGTGAGATGTCATCGTGAACTGAGCCAATGTGAATGAGAGTAGTAAGGTGAGTGTACGGGGGATTCCCCTTAGTTATTATGGGACGTCCGTGCTACACTCAACCCAATAAAAATAACTGATATGGAAAAGAAGGGGATGGATGATAAGCTTGAGAGAAGATAATGTAGATTGCAAGTGTTTTGGAAAGTAGACCGTTCCTCCTTGGTTTTTTTTTTGTTTCCTTCCAGGATTTGTAACACTAGTGCCCCCTACTGGAGCAAAAAAATGTCCCAACACATTTGACTTTCCAGACCTGTTTAGTTAGACAACGTATTAAGATGGAAGTAACTTTTATTTTAGCAAATTTTATTTTACTATTTGAGTTTTATTTCATTGCTCTCTGTTAGTGTGATTCTTTCACTGTTGCACTATTGAATTTGACTCACACTGCAAAGCAAACAAGGGCTAGCGGCGGGTAACACACTGATCTAGAAGATGGAGTAAGTACAGTCACTGACTGCTAGATAATCAGGTAGGATCATGTCTCATTGGTGTTTGTATAGGCCTGGATCCGTTTTGCTAGGAAGAGCACATTTACATATCCTGAAGGGTGTGTGTCTCAGACTTTTTTTGTGCTACCTATTTTTTCAACCTGTTTTTCATTGTCATCACAGTTGAGTAATACTTTTGAACAACAGCCGACACCAAGTCAGAGTTGACGAGGCTTTATAGCCGACACTTATACAAATTTTGAATTTAGAGTGAATTTAAATGGTGGTAAAATATAAATAATAAATGTAGTGTGGTGATACATGATTAACATGTTGAGATGCTGTTACTCAGTCACTGTCTCTCGTTTCTTTGATCCATAAACTTTTTTTTAGTGTCTGGAAACCATTTTTGGAAACAAGTTGAATTTGCCAGCGCAGTGTGTTCTGGCGGCTTTGTGTGTAGAGATATGTTGTGTGGGTGTGGTTTGTGTGTAAAGTGTTGCGAAGTGTGTGTGTGTTCAGATATTTGTGGGTGTGGCCGAGTATGTGTGTGTGTGTGAGCAGGTGAACTGCTATCTACATTCCCCAGCACTTCCTGTCCCTGTAACAGGTGTGTGTGTGCTGTCGTCTTGAGCTCTTTGTGTGTAAAGGGTCCTTGTAGTGTGGCCATAACACATCTGGGGGCTCATACTGTTTATCTTTATATAATTATTAACACTGGTTTTAAAACAATGCAATTCTCATGTTATGATACTTTAAAATTGGTGAGTCAGACATCTCACAAATTCTCCTGAAGATTATAGTGTTTTTTTCCCATTGTGTTTTTTCCCTTGGATTTTTTAAAATATATATATATATATAAAGATCTCCCTTATTGCCTCGTCTTCTCATCCTTTTTGTGCTTGGAGGTTAGAGGTTTTTTTATTTTTACACATTAACCCTCTGTGTGCTGGAAGTGCACAGTCAGTGTGGGAGTGCGAGTGACGTGCCGGAGTTAACCCTTTTCTTGCCAGAGCGTTCGCTATTCAGAGTGAGATGACTGGCTGTGGCCGTTGCCACTGAAACGGCTCTACTGCTATGACGAGACAGGGACAGAAACGATGCTCTCTCTCATCCTCGTTTTCTTACATCCCTTCCCCCTCTTTGGCTCTGAGAGCCTGTTTTGGTGCAGCACGGAGGAGTTGACTCATGAATTTCAGTAAGATAGCGAGAAAATGAGGCTCTTCGCATGTTGAGTGCACTGACACACACATCTGCACATCTGAAAATGAGTAACCCTTTATACTGTACCAAACAGGAAACTTGACTTTCATAAAAGGTACACTGTCATACATTTCAGAGCGCAAGTCACGTCAGATTAGTATTGTACAAAAAAAGCTGGCTTCATGCTAAGAAAGAGATGGTTTTAAAAATGCAGACTATTTTTAACCTTTGATAAACATAAATATCAATAAAATGAATATTACTGTAATATCAGGAATTTAGTGTGTGCGCATTGTTTTCTACGTCCTAGCAAAAGTACGGGACGCTCCAGAGAGTCGTGTCGAAGCAGAGGTTGTCCCTAAGGTTGCCCGGATGACTGTGTCAGGCAAGAAGCAGACCATGGGCTTTGATGTGCGAAGGTAAGCCAGTCGAGGTAACGTGGAAGTGGTTTAAAGATGTGCCCTGGTAACCCAAACACTGTTGGTTCAAACCTTATAAGGGACACTTTATGAACTATATGATCTTTCACCCTTAAGCAACGCATGTAACCACAGCTCACTCCACTGGGACTGTCCCTGTAATAGGTGCGCTGCAACACCGTGACCTAACCCGACACGATTGTCTTGTTTTCAGTGATTTAATTATTTTTTTTCTTCGGACCAGACTCAACGCTAGTGAGACGCATTAAATTAACAATGATTAAAGGTGATCTTTACAACAGAACTGAACCAAAACCGAACTGACTTCAGCTGAAATCCTGTTATCACTGGACGTAGTTTTAGCTCAATATACATTTCATTTCACGATGGAACCTTTGGATATACTTGCATTTAGTGAAGGATACCTTTGTTCATTTTTATTTTAAATGTACAGAAAATTGACCATCTGCTGTCCACTCATTGCTGAACTGCTGTAGTTGAGCTTTCCTCTTATCGGTTGTTGCAGTTACAGTCCCTAATATTACAGAATTAATTCTCTGAACCAGGCCAAGTCTTGTCTACCTGCATTGCATTGTGGGATAGCAGAAAACCACAGAGATGGCTGGTGCCTGTAGATTAATCTCACACTCACTAACATGAACCCGCAGCCTATCACTCCCTCTCCTTCAGCCACAGACCACACCCGCCGAACTCAAGAACAAGCGTGTAGGGGTTTCTGCAGGTGGAGCAGCCAATGTACTTTCATTTAATAGGTTAAGTTTGTTCAGAACAGTCTTTAAGTGACTATGAGAGGATATGTGGTAAATTTTACAAACAATATTTTTTATCAAAAGATATCTTTAGGTTTCCACCTATTATGAATTTAAAAGGTTGTATATAGATTGTACAGTCTACTGTCCGAGGGGTCCGAAAGTTCTGAAAGAAATGGTTACAGTAAAGACATTTATGATGTTACAAAAGATTTCTGTTTCAAATAGATGCTGTTCTTTTGAACATTCGATTCATCAAAGATTCCTGAAAACAATTCCACAAATATATTAAGCACCACAACTGTTTTAAACTGTGATGATGAGAAAGCACAGAAAAATTAGCATGTTAGAATGATTTCTGAAGGATCATGTGACACTGAAAACTGGAGTAAATACACACAAAATGAATGTAAATGTAATGAAAATAATCAGCTTTGATAACAGGAATAAATTGCACATCCAAATATTTTCAAATTGAAATTGTTTTTTAAATTGTAATATTTCATAATATTAGTTATTAATTTACCATTTACCAAATGTAAAAATTTGTAAAAAAAAAAAAAAAAAAAAAAAAACCCTGACCCCAAACTTTTCAAAAACTTCCCATAAAATCCAAAACCATGGGTTGTGAAAATTAGACACAGTGGGAAAATACTGATTTGATTAAATGTCTATCTTCATCACATAAACAGAATGAGGTTTGATTGACTTTAAGATCATAAAAAATGATCAACAAACCATCCTAGAAATTCTGAGGTGACATTTGCTTTTGTTTCCCTTTTTAGCCCGGAAGAAAATGGCGTTGTTGCTTCATCGGTTCGCAGAGGGCAAAGTCCAGAGGTCACTGCTGCACCAACCACAGAAACCCCATCCAAAACAGGGGTTATGACTGAAGACCCTACCGCTACGACCCCATCTCGGCCAGCTGGAAAGAGCAAACAGCAGCTCAACATCCGTGCCGAACTGGAGAAAAGACAAGGAGGAAAACCGTTACTCAATCTGGTGGTCATAGGCACGATATCCTCTCTACTATCCATCCAGTCACATTATCATCCAGTTCATTTTTTGGTCACATTTGAATTAATTTTATTCTTTTGATTCATCCAATTAACTACCTGGTGAGAAAAGAATAAACTCTACGAGGTGGCCCTCAAACACTTAGATAAACACCCACATGTATGAATGTAATTGGATAAATGTTGTGAATATGGATCTTGAACTTGGTTTGTGTGTGTAGGTCATGTAGATGCTGGTAAGAGCACCCTCATGGGTCATCTGTTGTATCTGCTGGGGAACGTTAATAAGAGAACCATGCATAAATATGAGCAGGAGGCCAAGAAAGCTGGCAAGGCCTCGTTCGCCTATGCGTGGGTACTGGATGAGACCGGAGAGGAAAGAGACAGGTTGGTTTAATACAAACACTCAGGTGTCATTTCTGTCTTGAGATATGTTACCCAAACTAAGCTTCATTTGTTCATCATCTGCTCTCTTTCACAGAGGAGTGACCATGGATGTGGGCATGACAAAGTTTGAGACGGACTCGAAGGTTGTTACTCTGATGGACGCACCAGGACACAAAGACTTCATTCCGAACATGATCACGGGGGCGGCACAGGTACTACGACTCAGTTAAAAAAAAAAAAGGTCATCATTTCAATACCTTGACCACCATGTTGTATCAAACTTCCCTGAATATTTGAAGCAGCAAATAAAGCTTTCAGACATCAAAAAGGACACAAAAGTTCCAGACACTATATTTCAAGTCTTCTGAAGCCTTATGATAGCTTAGTGTGTGAATCAGGCACATATTTCAAACTAAAAAAGTGGTTCTCTGAAAATCTTGTTAATGAGTGATGGGCATTGGGCAGTAGCATTTCTGTGAAGTTGGATCTTCAATGAAACAGTTGATCTGGGTAATAAAAAGGTCTGAATGAATCATTCACATTCAGATTGATTCAGCTCCCTGACTCAATGGTCTGGCCCCAGTACTTTGCAACTCACTATAGGGAAGAATCACCATTGAATAATGACGTCATTTTGGTCTGTTTCTTACATAAAGCTATTGTATGACTTTAGAAGACAAGTCATATGGACAACTTTATGATGTTTTCATGTTTTTTTGGAGCTTGAAAGCTTCTGTTCCCATTGTAACTGTAATTTCACCACATGAGAAACGCGTATAGGTTTAAAGTGACAGGAAAGTGAGTAAATGTCTGAATTTGATCATCTAGAGTCCTCTTTCAGATTGTTCTTCTATTGCCCATTCGTTTTTTTTTTGTTTTTTTTTTGCATGTACACGAGTTGACGAGAGGACAACCGATGTCTGCATAATTTCATGTGCACAGTGAAGTTTCAATGAAACTTGTTCATTGTGGATTTGGGTGCCACCACCACTAGTACTCCGTGTATGAGTGTGTGTGTTTGGATTTGGCTGATACTTACAAATGCAGTGAATGAAATTAGTCACATTGTGCAGATCGGATTTACTCATTTCCTCAGTTCTGTCTGCTGAGAAATGTTTTTTGGGGGCAAGTGGGTGTGTGTGTATTGCGGGTGGGTGTGTATTGGGTCTAAACTATTTCTGTATGATGACAGGAGTTGAAATTGACATGACAAAGCAATATCGATTAGGGGGATATTTGATGTTTTGTGACCCCTGAAAGCTATTATTTAAACTATAAATGTATATATATATATGTATGTGTATATATATATATATATGCATGTGCATGTCGGATAATGTACATCCAGCCGGTGATTATCACAGAATAAACTGATATATATTGGATCACCCTGAGGGGGTTTATTTTGCGTTAACAACCAGCTCGCTTTAGATTATCCTGCTTATTACATGGCTACTTCCCACAGAAGTGAATAATTGGACACCAAAAAATGTAAAATTCTTGTGAAATATTTTATTAGCTCACTAAACACAAAGCTTCTGTGAAGAAAACAGTTGCTAGATATATAGATGCAAGAGATATTGATTTGATATTTGACCAGTTTATTATCTTATAATCCAAGGAGATGAACACAGCAGTGATATTACAGTACTATTAATACTGATGTCCTACTATTTGGTTTTCAATGCAATCGATAAATGTAACAGAGACTCAAGATGGCAGCAGCTGCGTTTGTATGAATCAAGCGAGAGCGAGTCCGCGCCGCGGTATGATGCGAGAGACATGAAAGACGCACAGGCTTCATAAACCCAGATGGCCGTCGTGTTATTTAGCATTGCTATTTATTACTTTTGTTATCGTGGAATAACCCACTTCGGAAAATTGTGACTGACCAATCAGAATCAAGTATTCCAGATAGCCGTGTAATGCTTTGAGCTGCTTTTCATTTTGACTGCATTTTCAAGAAGTTTTTGTGTGCGTTTCTGTAATGTTTGGGTGTCTTAGCAGGTGTTAATAGTGATGGATGCTGGTCGCAGAGTGTTTGAGGAGGAGTATGTGTGTGTGTTTTGCAGGCAGATGTGGCTGTGTTAGTCGTAGATGCCAGCCGTGGGGAGTTTGAGGCCGGGTTTGAGGCAGGGGGGCAGACCCGCGAGCACGGCCTGCTGGTTCGATCCCTCGGAGTCACACAGCTTGCTGTTGCTGTCAACAAGATGGACCAGGTGGGTAACCATGGGGACCACAACAGCGTACAGTAACCACGGCAATGTCAATCATGATTTTATTTGTCTGAGAACTATGCTTCACTCCCACTCCCACCATTGTGCTCATCACGTCATGTGGTGTGTGTGTGTGTGTGTGTGTCTGCAGGTTAACTGGCAGCAGGAGAGGTTCCAGGAAATCATCTCTAAGCTCGGTCACTTTCTAAAGCAGGCTGGTTTTAAGGTAATGCAGTCTGTGCACATGGAGGATGTTTATATATTTTTCCCCTGTGCTTTTCGTACTTTGGTAATTCCCCCCCAATTGTTTTGTGTTACTTTCATTTAAGTGCATGAGATTTCTGTTGGTGCTTCAGGATAAAGTGAATGTTCATCTGATCAATGACACATCCAGAAACTGCAATTCAGACATAAAAAAGATGTCTTGCGTGTTCTGATTGAATCTCACACAATATCAGCTTACACTCTGATACTTGTCAGTCTTTTCTGACTGATTTTTCGTTTTTATGTGCTGCAAATGCATATGAAGGAAGAAAAAAAGTTATTTAAATGCTTTTGTGGAACTCAAATGAATATATTTTGTAAAATGTTCTGTGTTTTAGCTTGTGATATGATATAGCTTTGTGTGTGAAGCAGATTTAAACGGTCATTTGTTAAAAATCTGCAAATATTTGTTTTGCCAATTCAAGCACAAATACAGTATATATAATTCAAATATAATCAATAATAACATATAATTGAGCACAAATGAGCACTAAGGTGGGTGAGAACAGCAAATAATGATTTTAATTTTGATTTATTCCTTACACAACACTATTGAATATATATATATATATATATATATATATATATAGTATTTTTTTTTTACTTAACCTCGCTCCAAAGACACCCGCGTTTAATATACATATTTTATGTGTGAGAATGAGTGAAAAATTACAGAATTTTCTATTTTGTATAAACTACTCTTCAAAAAAAATTAAGAGAAAATAAGATTCTTTCATTGTAATAATGAAATATGGGCTACGGAAGAGAAACTTTTTTTACTAGTTTCAGCTTTGCTCAACTTATTTCTACTTCTAGTTTCTAAAATAATATGAGTGCGATTTTTTTTTTTTTGCAGACATGAATTTCCTAAAGAAATTTTTTCATGTAAATTCATCTCTCAGTAGCGGTTCTGGTGCACTAGGCCACATATGACATGTCACCCACACCCAAAATTGATGCACTTTTATTGTAGAACTATATACACAAGTATAAATCCACTAAATAAAATAATTTAATAAATTATTTACAAAAAGCACTCAAATAGCTAATAAATAATAAAATGAATAACTACAGAACAGGCTGACTAATCTTAGCTTGAAATTTGTACATGGAATTATTTGATATACAAAGATGGATCTTAAATTTCTATTCAATTTAAAGGTAAACTAACTGTTATTTTATCAGTCAATCGTGGAAGTCTGATGGTTGATAGCCAGGGCAAAGTGCAAAGGGGAAAAGTTTGAGCGCACATGCAATATCTGAGCGACAGCAGAGACATTTTTGCCATTTTCTAGTATTTTAGCTTACACATTATCTTTCTTACATTTTATGGATCAACAGTACAATAGATGTTCTTGCAGTGAACTGTAATGATACGTGTTGTACTGTACGTGTCACGTGTCTGATGTGCTAGCAAGAGGTATATTTGTGGCCTGTAACACATTCTGTGGCCTGTAAATGGTTTGGGAATGTAAACCAACATTTCATGGCCCATTTCCACCTGCAAGTTGATTTGATCAGTCAACAGCACACGCTGCTATGGAAATGATCTGTGCTGGTCATGTGTTACAAATGTGCTTGTCTTTGCAGGATTCTGATGTGTATTACATCCCCACCAGTGGCCTATCAGGAGAGAATCTGACCACTAGGAGCAAAGTAGCAGACCTTACAGCCTGGTACACTGGACCATGTCTGCTGGAACAGATAGGTGGGTGTGTTTGTTTGTGGACACATTTGTGCAGTTGCTATTTGCATGCACATACACAATGTATACAGTATAATATATTACAATATAATGCATAATATTCCAAAATTACAATATAATGTAATAGGTGCTTTATTATTTTTGATATTTTGATCATTTTCTCTTTTTTTGTGGGAAAAAATGTTTTGTGTATTATTAGTGTGAGTAGATAATGATAAAACGGTCTGTAGAAGGTGTAACCGCGTCTAAATTGACCAAATCATTTCTGCACCAGTGTTTTTTCCCCCTTCAATAATCATGCAAATGAATTATCAAAGGTAAAAAAATGGCTGTTCAAAAATGTCTAATCTTCTGCATCTTGTTGATAACTTTGAACAGGCACTTCTATGTTCATGCGCATGGATGAGTGTGTAGTGTAAAATGTTTTCGCACAAGCTTTTGTGTCATGATTCTGATCTGATTGGTGGCTGAGCTGTGAGAATCCTCAGCAGTTTTACTTTGACTCACTTAAACTTGATGAGGCAAACAGAAAACTGCATGCAGGCCACTGCGTCTTTTCTCATCTCTCTCCTTCTGTCTGTTTGCAGATGCCTTCAAACCTCCCCAGAGGTCAGTGGAGAAGCCGTTCAGGCTTTGTGTCTCAGACGTCTTCAAAGGTCAGCGTGGGAACCCACATAAAAGCAAAGTGTACTAAATCTAAATGCACAAATATTGGATTTTGTTGGATTCTGTGCAAATACTCCCAGGTTTTCAAAAAATGAAACGAACCCTTATTCTGTTAGGGGCAGTTCAGAGAGGTTTGATTTCATGATCATTAAACAATTTCACTGTTTTCAGACCAGGGCTCTGGATTCTGTGTGACGGGGAAGGTTGAGGCTGGCTTCATTCAAACAGGAGATAAAGCTCTGGTCATGCCTCCTAATGAGACCTGCACTGTTAAAGGTAAACACGCAGCAGCTTTATCAACTTATAGAGACATGGATGTGCAACAGCACCCTCTTCTGGTGTTTTCATAAAGCACCGTGATTACTGGTTAATACTGCTTTAGACTTGTTTTAGAGCTTTTTCCCAGTCCTGTGACTAAGAAATGGATGCCGAATGTAGAAGACATGCACAATTTTGACATTTGCCGAAATTAAACAATAATACATGTGTATATATATATATATATATATATAACTGAAAACAAATAAGAATTATATTTAATCGTTTCCTTGCACCAATATAACAAATAGGGTTGTTTAACACGTTAATGTATTTAATTAGTTATGGATAAAAAAATAATGTGTTAAAATTAGCACATATAACCCAACCGCCCCGCCCCATGTAGGCCATCTGACATTTCCTACGTAGTCTCGACACCCGTCTCGTGGACATCCTGTAGAATTCAACCAATCAGACCACGACTTCGAAACTCCTGTGTGTTTTGATGCATATGGTACACTTTTCTGGAAACACTTCAGGAGTCGCAATCTGTTGTCCTCCTGCATCATACTCAACAACTCACTGTGTGATGGAGCCAATAAAATGCAATGCATTAATATACCCCTAAAATTCAATATTCAAAACTCCATAGACCCTGAATGACTTTTTGGCTGATATTTATATAGTATAGCAATAACATTCGAGCAATGAGCGCAGTATCTCTCGAGTGCTGTTTTTATCCTGAATAGCACGAGTGCAGATGTGATACTGATTTTATACAACAGTTCAATAAATATGTTACTATTGTTATATTTTAGACACAATATTGTCTGTTTTTGAACGAAACAAAAACATTACATATAAAACCACAGCAGAACGATTGTGTATCCAAGCAACACAGTGGCGTTTTGAATGAATCAAACGGGAGGCCCCATTCATAAAGAGAGACATTTACTTAATTCCTGAATGAATCAGCCGTTTGAACAAATCGAATGAATGACTTACTCATGTAGACATTTAGTACTGGCAGTTTGTTTCTTATTTAGAATATTATTTCAGCAAAAGAATAATATCATATTCCATATTAATAAAAAAAAAACATTAATGGTATAGTTAACCCAAAAATGGCTCATGGCTTTTGTAGCCTAAAAGTGTATGTTTAATGAATTCTGTTAAATCAAATATAATATTTCTTTCTAAAGCTACGTTTTGTAATGTCTATTTAATGAACAGTCCAAAATGAAAAATAAATAAATAAATAAAAATCAATCTCTCTGTCTTACCCTAATTCCATAATTGGCAATTATTTCTTTCTTTTTTTTAAAGAAAAGAAAAAAATATAAGTGATTCATCCTTAAAATACAGCCGTCTCTCTCTCTCTCTCTCTCTCTCCAGGGATCACTCTCCATGATGAAGCATTAGACTGGGCAGCTGCCGGTGATCATGTCAGTCTAACTGTAACAGGCATGGACATCATCAAAATAAAGTGAGTGTGGAGTGAATCACTGCTGTTGAAAGCATTCCTTTCCTTTGAGTATACTGTAATTCTGTGGTTATATAATATTTTGATTATATTACATAATACTTGATTAGAAAACTTTCTTTGCGCGCTTATGATTCTGTATGATCATGTTTTTTTCTCTAGCATTGGATGTATATTCTGTGACCCCAAAGAGCCCATCAGAGCCTGCACAAGATTCAGAGCAAGAATTCTTCTCTTTAATATAGAACTCCCCATCACGCAAGGCTTCCCTGTGAGAACACACTCCCTCTGCGTTCAGACTTCTAGTATATACACATCTCTCCATCTACATGTTGTGCAAGTGCATTTGTCAACAATTCCTTGTATTTTGTGTTTGATTGGCAGGTGCTGTTGCATTATCAGACTGTAAGCGAACCGGCCACTATTAGGAAGTTAGTCAGTATATTACACAAGAGCAGCGGAGAAGTTCTCAAGAAGAAACCAAAGTAAGTGAATGAATGATATGGAATCATATGTTACCAAATTAAAAATACTATTTATTCACCCTCATGTTGTTCCAAACCTGTCTGATTTTCTTCATTGAAACAAAAGCTTTGAAGAATGTGCTCATTTCCATATAACAATAACAAAAAAAGCATCATTGATGTATAGTAAAAGTAGTAGTTGTGTGGTATAGTGTGCTCTGAATCCATATGACACTATTTGTATGATGAACACAAAAATCGATATTAAAATCGATAATAAAGCGATTAATTTGGTAAATGTGTTTACATCATAGTTAACTCAATTGAGTGCATACATCTTTTTATGTACGCATTTTTTTAATTGATGCTCATCTTGATGTATCCATTTAGATTTTTTTTGAATGGTATATCTCAAAATCTGCATAAAAATTGGTGGATGGAAACATAGCTACTGTTGTTATTAACTAAAACTGAAACATTTAAAAATACATTTCAGTAATTGAAATAAGGCTAAAATAAAATATAAATAGTAGATGTAAAACTTAAGAAACTTGAATGTGAAATTTTGCATTGGCAAGTAACCAAAATAAGTTGAGGTACTAAAATTGCTAAAGCTGAAATAAAAAATAATTAAAAAAAAAATGGAAATATATATTTTAAAAGTAATAAAAATGATAAAAGCACTTAAAATGACTTGGTATTTATTAATATTTTATGTATTAAATAAAAAGAAACCCATTTTCCAAGTTGGTGACACAATGGCATTGTGGCATTGACACAAGCAAGGACCCCAATGGTGTTTGTTGTCATTTGCCACTTTTAATATCATTTTTGGATGAACTATTCCTTTAATGACGGTTCAGAATGGTGTTTCCACTTAATTTCATTATCAGTGTGTAATATTGATGTTTAATGTTGTGCAGGTGTTTGAGTAAAGGACAGAACGCAGTGGTGGAGATTCAAACGCAGAGGCCTGTGGCTCTAGAGCTCTATAAGGACTATAAAGAACTGGGGCGGTTCATGCTGAGATATGTGGGCTCCACCATTGCTGCTGGAGTCGTCACAGAGGTAAAACCTTTCTCACTAAACACATTCCTGTTGCAAAAAGCATACGCCTTGTATTCATCAGCATTTTTGGATGTTGCATCATAAGAATGTGACGCTTGTTAATGCTGATGTTTACACTGTTTTAGATCAAAGAGTAAGGACCAGTCGGAACTGGAAGAGCGGAGAGAAGTGCAATTTCCCCTCAAACACAAATTGAATTCACCGGGCAACCTGACAGTGATTCTAGCCACAGTTCATTTCACCTTTCACAAGTCTAAAGGCAGGAGAGAGCGTGAATGTGTGTGTTAAAGAGAGAATGCCTTTTGTCCTGCTCTTCAGCTTACAAAATACAACTGAACTGTAATTCATCCCAAGTTTCAACTCGAACCCTCCTAATAACACGCAGGAACAGACAGAAAGATCGCCCGCTGCCGTTCAATAATTGCGTCAACAAACTGAACTCATATTCTTTTATTTAATATTTTATTTAGATTATTGTAAATGGCATTATTTTTGACTAAATTGGCAGAATATAATGGACATTTAGGCTTGGTTTAACTTGAAATCGAAGGATTTTAAGGTTGGTTCTGATTAGTTAAAGATGTGGACATTTGTAAAAGGGGAAATAGAAGACAATAAACAACATATCTGGCTGCTCTCATCTCCTCCACCAGTTTCTCGTATGAGCGGGACAGTGTGTGAATGAAACCTGCCCTTCCATTGCTGCTACTAAGTCTTTTCCTGATCTTTAATGGGTCAGTGACAAGAAAACGGGAGGATTGAGAACCAGTGGACAAAGGGATATTTCGTGAAACTCATCCGGTGTCTGTAATCTAACAGTAATCGCTTTAAGGACCTAACGGACTTACTCATCTGTTTTTGAGTTGTTTATTAAGGGGTTTTAATTTGAAGAACATCTGTTTGGGTGTATCGAAGCGGAAGTTGTTTCGTCCAGGGAAAGCTTCTTCATCAGAAAAATAAAAAATATTCATCACTGTGGAAAACCTGTCTGTGTATTTTTGGGCCAGTAAATAAATTGGCTTTATGACCCCGCTTAAAATTCACCAAAGTATTTTCTCCGGACGTTTTTTCTGCCTGCAAGCTTTGTTTTTCATCTCTGCAATTTTTAGTGATTCTTTGTTGAGCTTTTTGCACCTTTTGGCCTGATGCGGAATGACATGAATCCCAATGCAATCATGTTTTATTAACTTTCTTTGCTATTGCAGTATATCTATGATTGAAGTGATGGTGAAATTGTTTTAAATATAAAATGCTAAATACATTATATTCCCCTATATATTGATATTTTCCCTTTTAATGGAAATATGAATGACATCTCAGAACCTCCAGCAAGTTAAGGTCTTTTAATGTCCAACTCGTGCTCAAACTAATCAGTGTTGAAACATGTGCTGGTGAAGCCCTTAAGTTTCCTATACAACCTCTCATTTACCTAAGTAAACAGATTGCAAAAGAGTCCGGTGAAAGCTCATATGTGACAGCACGCTGACTGGTGCGGAAACATCTCGTATCCTTTTGTTTGCAAAACTGATTTTTCTGCAATGTCAAAAGAAATGAAATATCTGGTGCTGGAAAACTATATCGGTGGGAAGTTTGTACCATGTTCCAAGCTTGTGGACTCTTTTGACCCATCGACGGGAGAGATTTACTGCAAAGTTCCAGACAGTGGATCTGAAGAGGTGAGGTTTTTCTCAATATTTCTCTCTTTTTCTCAGGTTTTGTTGAATATTTTAAGATGTCACTTGTACATGTTCAATTATGCACTGCGTTACAAAATAAAAGTGCAGTTTTACCTTTAAAAAATATTTAACCACTCACACCATTATTTGGCTGAAGACACAAATTCTGAGAAAGTTCAGAGTAATAATTGCTTGCTGAGTCAGGGTGACGTACCTTTGGTCTCATATATTTCTTGCTGTAAACACTTTGGTCATAAACAAATTAGGCAATGCTCAAGGTCCGGTGTCTAATGATTAAGCCAAACTTGTGTGGAGCAGTTGAACAAAAAAGAGATTTTTATTTTCTAATATTATATTTTATGACAATGCACTTATATAAGCCTTAAATACCAAAAAAGGAGGTCTTACATGAATTTTTTCCCCACCACACAGAGTGACACTTCTCTCAGTTGTGAAATATATTGGTTTACCCTTTTCTCAATGGTCATAGGTGGATGCTGCAGTGAGGGCAGCCAAAGAGGCCTTTCCTGATTGGTCAGCTAAGAGCCCAGCAGAGAGAGCCAAAGTACTGAATAAACTGGCAGACCTGATAGAGGCTCGACTGGAGGAGTTTGCCCAGGCTGAGTCTAAAGACCAGGGTAAAACACTAGAAACACTACAGCATCATAGTACAGGGGCCGGCATAAACTGCTTAGACTAGTCTTAAAGGGATAGTTCACTTTGAAATTAATTTTTGATATGTTTTAGCTTAACTCAAGGGCATCCAAGATGTAGGAGTCTTTGTTTTCCGCAGTATTTGATATTTTTAGGTCAAACCATTCTTGTCTGTCAGTCATATAATGGAGGTCTATGGTCACCACCTCAAAAAGCATGCTCAGAGAAGTCCGACTTAAACATGATTCAATGACTCGTAAATGTAAGTACACATTGATGACCCGAGACACGAAATGAGCGCTTTCAGATCGCACCCTCAGATCAGTTGGACAAGGTAAAAACGATATAAAGGCTGTTCGTTTTCAAACACAAACCTACCGGCCATCAGTGTGTACTTACATTTATGAGTCATTAAATCATGTTTAATTTGGACTTCTCTGTGCATGCTTTTTGAGGATTTATCATTTTTATTTTGGATTTATTATTTTTTACAGCCATTTTTGATGATATTTACCAGGGGTGCCATTAATTCTGACCACAACTGTATCTAATATATCTTGTTACCTTGTGTCACTGAAGAATTTAAGTGGGTCTTAAAGGGCTCTTAAAGCATGAAATGAACTCATTTCCTTTTCTCTTTTATTTTTCCAGGGAAGACTATAACTTTTGCCCGAAATGTGGACATTCCTCGATCAGCGTACAACTTCCGTTTCTTTGCTTCATCTGTCCTGCATCACACTAATGACTGCAGTCAGATGGATCACATGGGCTGCCTCAACTACACCGTACGCTGTCCTGTAGGAGTGGGTATGTGTCAGTCTCTACCACAAATCAGATCAGATCAACCACAAATCAGTTTCTTCAGTCGAAAAGTTAAGGTTTTTGATTAAAACATTCCAGGATGTTCTCCATATAATGGACTTCATTGGGAACCGAAACGGTTCAAGGTCCAAATGAGAGTTTTAGTGCAGCTTCAAGGGGCTTTAAATGACACCAGGCGATGAATAAGGGTCTTATCTAGCAAAAATAAATAAAAAAGTCTAAGTTTTATAAGCACAAATGCCCGCCGTGCTGTGTTCTGTGATGAGCATTCATGACTCTCTTGTTCAAACTTGTTAATCAAAATGAACAAATCTTTTTTCGAGTCATGACTTGAAGGGTCCTAGATAAGACCCTTTTAACGCCCTTTGAAGCTGCACTGAAACTCTCATTTGGTCCTTGAACCGTTTGGTTCCCAATGAAGTCCATTATATGGAGAAAATCTTGGAAAGTTTTCATCAAAAACCTTAATTTCTTTTCGACTGAGGAAAGAAAGACATGGACATCTTGGATGACATGGGGGTGAGTAAATTATCAGCAAAATTTTTTTAAAAGTGAACTACTCCTTTAAATTCCCTGTCTAGCTGGTCTTATAAGCCCATGGAATCTGCCACTGTATCTCCTGACCTGGAAGATTGCTCCGGCTGTTGCTACAGGAAACACTGTGGTCGCGAAACCTAGTGAATTGACCTCAGTCACTGCCTGGATGATGTGTCAGCTATTGGAGGAAGCTGGTGAGGGATTTGTGTGTGTATCTGGGACAGATTTGTTAATTAGCTCATCTCAGGGTACATTGGTAGCTTTATTTTGCTTTTAATTATGGTGATGCTTCTGAATTGAGTGAATGTGTCTTACTCTTACATAATAATAAAAGTGTGTGTGTCTTAGGCTTTCCACCCGGTGTGGTCAACATTGTCTTTGGTACGGGCCCACGAGCCGGGGATGCATTGGTGTCTCACCCTGACGTGCCGCTGATCTCATTTACTGGGAGTACGGCAACAGCGAGACTGATAACAGAACGCAGTGCGCCGTATTGTAAGAAGCTTTCATTGGAGCTTGGCGGGAAAAACCCGGCTGTTATATTTGCTGATGCTGACATGGATCAATCCATCAGCACTACTGTACGATCCAGCTTCTCCAATCAGGTGAGCTCATGCACAACTTGACCAATCAGGTTATATTTTTAGTTACACATGCTTTCTGGTTGAAAAAAATTTGATGCCATTACTGAGCTCATCCAATCAAACTCCTGCAGGTGTCTGCATTAGCAATAGGTTGAAACAACGTTAAAGGTGTAGTTCACTTTTTTAAAAAAAAATTTGCTGATTATTTACTCACCCCCATGTCATCCAAGATGTCCATGTCTTTCTTTCTTCAGTCGAAAAGAAATTAAGGTTTTTGATGAAAACATGCCAGGATTTTCTCCATATAATGGACTTCATTGGGAACCAAACGGTTCAAGGTCCAAATGAGAGTTTCAGTGCAGCTTCAAAGGGCTTTAAATGACCACAGACAATGAATAAGGATCTTATAGGACCCTTCGAGTCATGACTCGAAAAAAGATTCGTTCATTTTGATGAATGAGTTTGAACAGGAGAGTCACGAATGCTCATCACAGAACAGAGCAAGGCGAGCATTTGTGCTTATAAAACTTAATTTTTTTATTTTTATTTTTTAAATGACCAATCGTTTCGCTTGATAAGAGCCTTATTCATCATCTGGTGTTGTTTAAAGCCCTTTGAAGCTGCACTGAAACTCTCATTTGGACCTTGAACCGTTTGGTTCCCAATAAAGTCCATTATAAGGAGAAAATCCTTGAATGTTTTCATCAAAAAACCTAAATTTCTTTTCGACTGAAGAAAGAAAGATGTGGACATCTTGGATGACGTCACATGGGGGGTGAGTAAATTATCAGCAAAAGTTTTTTTTAAAAAAGTGAAAAGTGGCATACTAGTATCATACTTCTCAAAATGTTTCTTTACAGTATGAATACTGGGTGTAAAATGTGACTTCTATAATAAATGTGTTTCATCTAACATTTGTCATATTTTATTTCAGCTTTGTTTCATTTAGCGATTTCATTTTTTAAAAATATACCCTATAGGTTTAGTTGATGATGATAACCTTAGTTAAACACGCAACATACTGGAGTAACTGGGAAATATTTGATATACTTTGACTCAAATCTTTTTTAATGGGAAGACACCATGTAGTTCCGTTTTCTGCCACACTGTGGTGCTCAGAATACAGCATTGTGTATTGTGAACAGCACTCTCACACTGTCTCTCTCTCTTTCTCTCTCGCTCAGGCCTTCACATCGCGCGCACACAAACACATCATCACAGTGCTAATATGTAAAGTGTCCATATTAGTTTGCACAGCCCAGTGATAACTGAGAATTACTGATGAACTTATTTACATCTTTTTCTTTTCTCTCTCAGGGAGAGATCTGCCTGTGTACCAGCAGAATCTTCGTTGAGCGAAGCATTTACCCAGAATTCCTCACTCGTTTCGTGGAGGCGGTTCGTCGGTGGAAAACTGGAGTGCCCTCTGACCCCTCCAACGATAATGGAGCGCTCGTCAGCAAAGAGCATCTACAGAAGGTCTGAGTCTTTATCTCTCTCTCTGCTCATATAAAATTACATTTCTAGGTTTACAAACAGATACATTCTTTTAAAACATCTAAATTGCTTGCCAACTCATACAGGTTAAAGGTTATGTTGCTTTGGCGCTGGCAGAAGGTGCACAGGTGCATTGTGGGGAGGGTGTGGACAACCTTACCCTTCCGCAGCATAATGCGGATGGCTATTTCATGTTGCCCACCGTCATCTCTG